CAAGTTATGGAATTCTTTAAAACATTAACACCAAATTTTGTAACTCCATAAAAACTTTGAATCAAATTTTTTTTTTAAAAAAAACTTTCATATCCATAACTTATGGAAGTTTCAAAAACCCTTAAGATCACAACTTTAAAAAAAACTTTTGAGCTCCAATTTTATGACAAAATATGTAACTCCTTAAAACATTTAGATCAAACTTTTAAAACTAATAAAATAATCATATCATTTTATCTTTTACTAAATTTGACCTAATTCAACTCATATAACAAATGATTCAAATTTTACAAATAATTCGTTTTTCACAAAACAAGTAATTATCTTAAAATTTGACAAACGTCATGTTTTTTTTCCTTTTTTTTCAACTTGAAAATAAAACATTTGCATCAATATAACAGAAAACAACCCATGACTCTGATACCACTGTTGGGTTTTGAGCATTCTAACACTCCTATGGTGTACATGCAACCCTATAAACCTTGGATCTATGTTTTCTCTATTATACATGCAAATATTAACTATTCCAAGGTTTCATCCTAACTAGCATATTATGAAGCACCTATACTACAAAGTTCTAGTTAGATGACATACCTTTTGATGTAGCTTGATGTCTTCAAGCTTTAAGAGCTTAGCCCCAATAGTGTGGAAGCCTCAAATGGAATCACAAATCACCAAAACACCTTGGAAGAACTTGAGAGAATATGTATGCTCACTAAAATCGGCCCACTCTTATTTTCACACACTTGTGTCAATTTTGTGAGCCAAGGACCCCTTTATATATTATGGAGGATTAGGGTTACATCCATGTAAACCCTAATACCCATGACCTTTCATTTACATAGGATACATGGGTTAAAAGCTCCATGGACCATCCATGAAAGCTTAGCCCAACCTAAATGAACTTGGCCCATTCCATATATATAAGAGTCCATATTTAATTAGTTCTTTTTTTATCACTTAATTAATTCTAAATTAATTCTTGATCAATACTAATTAAATAATATGATTCCATATTAATATATTAGAACTTATAATATATTAATATAAACCATAAATATACTATTCTCAAAAGACTATCCATATAAATTGTGCCGGTGAAGTGCAACCCAAATGGACCATGCCGGGTCGGGTCAAGTACATACCAGTAAAAGAAATTGGTGTTCTCGAGTTTCATTAAAGGAATAAAGTGAAAGGAAGTAGAGGAAAATGGAATGATCATTTTTCCTCCTAATTTTCCTTCCGATTTGGAAGGATTCAGAAAGAAAGAACAAAATGCTTAATTTTCCTTCCATTTCTCTCAAACTCGGTAACACAAAAGAAAATTTTCTTTTCATTTTTTTTTTCTCTCCTTACTTTTTTTTCTCTTCTTTCTTTTCTTTGCTTAAACTCGGGAACTAGGCGTTAAAGTCTTTGAGTCAAAGTTGAGCATGTTTACTCGTTTTAATTCAACAATATATTACACAATATAATTATTTTATTAGTAACGTTTTAATTCAACATATTTTACACAATGTTATTATTTTATTACTAAAAATTTGCAATTAGAACAATATTTTCATTTTTTTTCTCATAATTTAATTTACTTTTTATAAGAATTTTATGGCGTTTTGAACGTAAAGAATGTGTGGCCTAACGGTTAAGCGTCACTTTCGGGAGGTAAATGGTTTGATTTCTCTCTAACCCTGGTTGCTAATCATAATAAGTTTGGTTTTTAAACATGTAGCCTAAGGGTATTTTCACCATTGTGTTTTCTTCCAAATCAAGGTCAGGGTTTTAACCCGCAACACGCCCCCTTACTTTTTTATGTTTTATGAGAGCAAACACAAACCCAACATGTCCCGTCCTTACCCAGGTCTCACACAAAAAAAAAAAAAAAAAGGTTCATCCAATTTTTATCATTACTTTTTAAATCTTATTTTACAATTTAGTTTTGACGAGTTATTTTTTTTTATAAATTTTTTACAAAATTATTTTTTTCATATAAATTAGTTTTTTTTTTCTTTTAGTTTGTATTCCAACTTTCTTTTACATATTTATTTTCATAGGTTTCCAAAAACATGTATACATTCATTTTTTAAAACATTCGTTTTTACAAACCAAAAATGTATCGTTACATATAATCTTTTTTGTTAGTTATGAAACAATCATATGGTCGCACATTTGGTGAGGGCAATGACTTTTTATAGAAAATATCTCAATAGAGGTGGCTAGGAGGGTTATAGAAAATGTCTCAAGTTCTAATCCTTAGGGCTTCATTCTGGGGTGACTAGGAGGGGGTAATCCAACATCTTGCGAAAACAATACAAAATGTTTATGATCTTCACCAAAATGTTGAATTGTCTCTAAGGAAGTCAATTCTAAATGGAAATACCCTTTTGGAAAATAAAAATAAATTACTTATAAGTCATGTCTTACCTAATGACCAACGGAAATACCCTTTTGTAAGTCATATCTTACCTAATGACTAATTTACGCATGTAAAATTTTCACATCATGACTCCCCTTGTTTTTTTTAAAGAGAAAAGCTCCACCACAATCTTTGGCCTTTTAAAAAGGCTTTTAAGGTTCGTAAATATAGGTTTTGTTAATGATAAGGTGATATGAATAAAGAAAAAGTCTTCAAAAAGATTAAACATTATGAATGCTATTATGATGCAAGCTGGTAATTTGCTTGAAGTCATGTGGTTGCAATTCAACATTATTGATATATACATTTTTTTTTTGCTTTTAGAAAGAATAAATAATGTTGAAACATTCAATCTTAAAAATTATTATTATTATTATTATTATTATTATTATTATTATTTCAAATGAGAAATAAGTACCAGTATAGTTTGTATTGTTTTACATTTGTCATCTAATTTATCAACTAGCTTTAAGCAGACACTATTATTTTCTCATTTATCTTATTAACTATCAGTTAGTATGTCAAACACGCTTTATTGTATCAAATGGTCCAATAAACCGAATGATCTTGAGATTCCATCTTAACTTAAACTCTCTTACCGGTATCAAACGAGTATCGACATAGAATAGATGGACGAATGATGCAACGATGAATTTATAAATTAAAAAGGAGGAAAACAAGATACGACACAAATCTTCCACACTCAAATGGTTTTCTTTGATTATGAATTATGATTGAATAAGAATGAGAAAATCAAATTTCATTTCTCCCAAAAACTTTTTGCAAATTGCTATTTCACCATCTGAATGTTGTATTCCTATAAACTTGCACCATATTTATCTTTAGATTAAGCGGAAACTCCATTGTTTTATTGAACTGGAAAAGAAATTATCGGTTTAATTTGGTTTGGAACAGAATACTAAATCAAATGATTGTGGGTTCGGCTTTAAGGTCGTCTGGGGGATAACTAGTGAGGGTCGAGGAAGGAAGAAATCAAGAAGTTGAGAGATTGAAGAAGAAAAGACTTGGAGGATAGACTAAATTCAAGGGGTGTGTATTTATTTTTGTATAAATAATGATGAGATCTGAATAATTTTACTATATTTTAATGTACTTTAATAACATCCATAAATGTTAATGCATCCACTGAGGGCACATCAATAAGACAATAACATCCATAAATTTTATAAAAGAAAAAAAAAAGAGTCCATTTTTTTGAATGGTGACAGCATAGTCTGGGCTGGATCCATGCTTAATTAGATGACACTCACCTCAAAAACTACAAACCCCTCATAAATTGGGATTTGGTTAGAAATTGTGGTTTTTAATCGAGCTACAAAGATTGAAATTCTTAATGATTTTTTCTTTATAGTTAGAGCAAATAACACCAAAGATGTGAGTTGTCATTGTATTGTATGATAAATGACCAATCTTAATACTCCTTTAAGCTATTTAACGATGTCATTAACTACCTACATGCTTAGTTACCTTTTGAGCTATTTAACCATAAAATACGGGATAAAAAGTGTTATATACAATCAATTACCTTTTTATATCATTTTTTGTGGGATCTTAAGATCCCAATCTTACATTCCCGATTTTGCTAACTTGCAAACGAACCTACATATGATCCCGATCTTGACAACCTTTGTATAAATATAATTAAACCTATATAAATTTTGTTTTGCGTGTTCCCCGTATACAAATTTTTGGTAGCATTGCAGAGGACGCTACCTGTAAGTTTAATGTTATTACATAAGTAATTGTATATCAACAAAATTGTTTTTCAATGTTGACCTTTCGATCATGTAAACCTATTTATCTTGTTTCCTTTGTAGCTAAGTTTTGTTATATATAAAGTTTTTAATTTTAACCATTATTATATATGATAAAAAACAACTATGCTATGAAAAGTATATTTTGTAGGTTTTAGATTTTGGCTATAATAATTTTGTATATTGGCAGGTTTGGTCCCTATATAGAAAACAAATTATAAAAGTTGTCCTTTTAATTTACAGTAAAGATCCCTGTGCTTTTTTTTTTTTTTTAATGTTTGGGTTTTGGACTTTGGCTACAATACTTTTGTATGTTCCTGTGTAGAAAATAAATTACAAAAACTCTCCTGTAATATACAAAAAAGGTCTCTACACATTTTTTTAAAGAAATGGTTCATCTGTTTAAATAGTATACTCTTTGGTCCATGTGTTTAAAAAAATATAAAAATGGTCCCTGCCTAATAGAAAATTTACAGAGTACGCCCACCGCAAAGCGGACATAACTAAACTCCTGACCTGTGGATGCGTTCGCGGAGAGGGGCAGTTTCTAGTTAAATATAAAACACAATCTAGATCAGCTTATTTCATTATTAAAGTGGTTAAAATTATAAGTCTTGCTGAAGTCCTTGGCATCCATTTTAAAGTGTTTTATTAAGGAACAAATGATGCTACTATTCAACTTCCAACCTCAAACAAAGCCTATCCTATAGGGTTTCATTTTAGTTACGTTTCAGTTTGAAATTGATACATTTCATAAGAGATATATGTTCAAACAAATCAGATCCTACAGATTAAGCAAGAACTGAGTAAAGACAACATGATTATTCTTCAAAAACTCATAGCTACCTTAGCATTTTACTTTAATACGTATCAATAACACATTCATACATAAATACACAGGTGTCTTCATGAAACAAGTCCCAATAACCTTATTAACCATACTACTTAAAGATCGCAGAACTCAAATCGCAAGCAAATGAAGACAACAATTTGTTGATGATGATCTTTTCATATGTGTTGATGTAAGCATCAAATAGGTTTTTGTAAATATCCCCAAGAATCACTGAAACATGTTAAAAATTCTGTCATTCACCCTAAATTTCCAATCTTGATTCGACCAATCAACAGAACTCTCAATTGGGTAATCAATGAGATCAAAATTGAACGAACTAATAACACATAGCTTAGATTGCTAAAAGATAGAAAAACCAATCAATAGATTTAGAATTAAACGCATGAATGTCAAAGTATACAAGTCAACATGTAACTATCTAAAAAGATAAATCATCGACAGATAGATCAATAAATCACACATAATTGCAGAAATACAGATCCAGATTGAAAGATTAGGGCACGAACATACTTGTTAAGCAAGTGTATAGTAGCGGTCGCGGTAATCGTCACGATCTGGATTGACTAGTACGATCGCATAGAGGGCATAGATTATCCCGGGAAGATAACCAAGAAGAGTCAACAATAAGCATACAAAGAACTCCGCCTGAAACAACAATAGATTATTTCAGTCAGACATTTTCACGAACAGGTTGCGTGCATAAAAGGGGGTTTTGTTTTGGTGGTGGGACTTACGGTGCAGCAACCGTATCGGAGACAAACTCCGAGAGGAGGAAGAAGAAGTGCAAATATGATTTCGCACAACAGAGCACAACCTGACGACATCTTTGTGGGGAAGGTAGATGTTTGGGGTGGAGTTGATTGCGATTGAATTTCTGGATTCAAATCGGCGTGAGATATGTCAGATGGAAAGCGACGACGACCGGTTTTCACCCTTAAATTTTTATCATTTGACATTTCGTAATATTATATTTTTTCTATAAATCTTAACAGTTAAGATTTGGCAAACAGCTAAATAATTATATAATGTTAATCATAATGATAATGTTTTTGTCATTTGTCGTCGGGGTTATCCAAAAATAGCCTGAGAAAAAAATTGAACCAATCCATAAAATAACCGTAACAAATCGAAACAGAAGATGATGTTTTCACTTATTTTGTTGGTGAATCTGAATTAAATGCAACATGGATGTTTAAAACTAAGTTAATTGCACAAGATGATGTGTTCACTTATTTTGATTTTGATTTTTTGATTTTTTTTTTTTTTTGCAACTTAAACACTATGTTTCTCATTTGTTGAAATTTAAACATCATGTTTATGATTTGTTGCAATGTTGACCATTTACCTGGTCAATCGGTTGTTACTGCTAACATGACATTATTTAGTTATATGGTGTTGACGTGTCATGATTACGTGTCAAATTCGAAAAAAATGATATAAAAACATTATGTTTTTATTTTTATTTTTCAATTTTTTATTAAGTTCTTAATTTTTTTTTTCAAGTTTGACATTAATAAACCAAGATCACATAAAAAGATATTTAAACAATATCACATTCATTTACTCATTAACTTTAAAAAGGCTAGTAATTATAACTAGTGATTAAACTTTTTAACCTAGTCAAAATGTCAAAAAAGATAGAATACTTTACAAAATTGATTAATATTCAATAAAGATTTATAAACGAAAAAAAAAACGCCTTTTTATCCCAAAGATTCTGGATCAAGACGAAATCACCTACCCAAGACCCTCTTTCATGTGTTTTGGAGTCAAAGGGTAAAATGGGAAAAGTGATGCTTCAGACTTCGTTCATGAGTTAAAGATTTTAGTTCGGTATGTTTTAAGTCAAAAGTAATTAGATAGTGTTTTGGGGGTTGTCAATACCTTTTCGTGGATATAAAGATCGCCGAAAAACGGAGTTGAAACGAAGAAGTTATGGTTGTCTTAAACTAGAATGGATTTGGGTGAAAAACGTCGCCACAGAGTGGTGATCAGAGCTCACGGCGTGGCAGGCCACGGAATGGTGAAACGTGGCCACGAAGTGGCAGTCTGTCAGGATCAAGCTCATGATTTTAGGGTTTTTAGCGTATTTAAGCATAAGGTTCCACATTTTGGGCATTTTAGCAGCCTCCATCATATCTAGAAACCCTTGGGAGAAATCCTAGCCTCCATCTTCCAGATTTGAGCTCCTTCCCTCCCCTTTCTCCTCTTTTGGATGCTTTTTATGATATTTTGATGAAGCTTAAAGATCAAGAAGGTTCTTTTGGTTGCAAGGAATGATGCTTCAAGCTTGGATCCATCAAAGACATTACATTTATGGACTATTATGAGTATAAAGTTCCAATCTTGCTCTTTAGTTCTTTATATCTATTCATTTGTAGTTTTTGGCACTTTTGGTCCATTTTAAGAGTGATATTGGAGTTGAGTGGACTCCAACATCTTTTGATTAGTTTGGAATGCTTCTTGGACCTCATGGACTAGGAAAGTTATGATGTTTTGTCTTCCCTTTTAGTCATGCAAGTTATCTTGGTCCTTTAGGCCATTTTGGTCTATTAAAGTTTAGTTATTGAAAGATTGTGACATTATTATGGATAAAGTTGGAAACTTTATCCATCTAGCCATCTTGTTGATTCGGATTTGAAAGTGGGAGACTTGGACTTAATGGATTAAGTTGAGAAAGATGCATTTTTGGGTCCCTTTGAGGCTTAAAGTCTAGATCTTTGTGGTTTTGACCATCCTAATGGATAAAGTTGGAAACTTTATCCACTATGAAGCTATTAGGAATCAGATCTGATGATTTTAGCTTTCGTCCTTATGGATTAAGCCCTTATTGAAGAAAAGCTTTCAGACTGAAGACTACGGCGTGGCCCTAGACTATCACAACGTGGCGACTGGGGAATCATCGTCTATTTTGGCATCTAGTGCCCACGACGTGGCCAAGGAAGGCCATGACGTGGAGGGCTGTTGATTGATAATTTTGACTTTGACTTTGACCACTGACTTTTGACTTGGTTTGACTTTCGGGTCAAACTTCTAGTTTTGGAAGGAGGGCTAAGGGTTCACTTTGTGTGTTTATATAGGTGGTGTATAGCATGTGTATCTTCGGCAGTGAAAGCAGTAGCAGTTGATTATCGGCTGAGAGGTGAGTTTCTTCACTGTATTCGTGGGTCGAAGACACCAATGTCGGCCCACTAGATTTTGTTTGTAGGATGTTAGTTGTACTTGTGACTCTTGCATGTGTTTGTATGTTTTATATGGGTTGGGTGTAACGCCCGTAGATCTGGGCTAGTCAATTTAGAAATAATAGGGATCGAAAACGACTTTTCGACAAAAGATTATTTTGAATAAATAATCTTAACCGAGTTGTAGAATATGTCTCAAGGGCTCCGTACATATAAAGAAAGCCGAAATCCGAGTTATAACGAAGAAGTTATGGTCCGTCAAAGTTTTTCGGCAAAAACCGGCACGACACCGAAAGACGTAAATAGTGAATTTTCGATAGAGGACTTTTTATCCTTAGTGATCTAAACAAAAGTTGTAGTATACGTTAAACCGAGAACATACAAAAAAAGAACGCCCAAATCTGACTTCGTATGAGGAGGTTATGAATTTTCTAAGATTTGACATAGCAGTGCACGACCCGAAACTCGAATTTTAGTTCGAGCGGTTTTTGGCCTACGCAACCTAAATGAGAGTTGAAGATCTCATTAATAGGAACTCAACGATAAAAAGACAGACGAAAACGGAGTCCGTATGAAGGAGTTACGAATTCTTCGCGGTCATTTAACAGTCTAATCTCCTCCTACTGTTAAATTTAAGATCAGTCAAGAATTAGCCAATGGAGTCTATATGAAAGTTGTAGATCTTGTTTTTACCTATGCGTGGATATAAAGAACGTCAAAAACGAAGCTCGTATGAAAAAGCTACGGGGTTTAGAAGTCGGTAGGGTGCTTTGCAAAATCGGGTGACGTGGCTGAATATGGGCCAAGGCTTTCTCCCCAAGGCAAGCCACCAGGTGATGACACCTGGCCATGGACTCGATGAGTAGGACCTCCTACTCGACGAGTAGAGCAGGATTCCAGCCTATAAATTGAGGTGTCGGGTTCGCTCATTCTTCACACCATCCCAACTTCACTTTCTCTCTCTATACTCTCTCTCTAGCCTCCCTTAAGCCCCCTAAAGTCTAGGTAAACCCCCTAGCACCCGAAGGAAGCCCCGAGGCTCCCGGAGTCCCGAGAAAAGGAGCCTTTCGGCTTGGGAACGCTGCTCCGGCGAAGCCCGGTTTTGCGAAAAACTCGTTGTAAGTGAGCTATGCCTACCCTATCTTTAGTATAGCTTATGTTTTAATATAGTAACATTATTAGGACCTTAAAATAATTATTTGGGCTATTATTATGAGTTATATAAGAGTGTTGCTTAACGCTTATATAATAGTAATAATAGCTAGACTATTAATTAGTCGCGGTTAACGTTAGACTAAACTCTAGTGGTAATGATATTAGGTTTTGTCCGAAGGAAATTGTTTTAAGATTAACGAAGTGCTGTCCGAGTACCGAGTGACCACCTTATCAGGTGAGTGCATAGTTACTTTCATCTTACACATAGATATGAAGTATTTAATATAAATTACGTGCTATGTGTGAATTTTATCTGTATACTTGTTATCTATGCTGGATGAACAATTTTACACATGTTTTAAATGATTTAAACTGTATATATATTTTATATCTACAAAATATGTTGGGTAAACATGGGTAGATGAAATATGAGTCGGATGATGAGGTGAGAGGTGAAATAGACCTTGAGGTGAGGGTGAGAGGTGGACGATGTGAGAAGCCTTTTACCCAAATGCTGGCCCCGTCATCTAGCAGAGTATGGATGACAACCACAGACTATTCTAGACAGTCCAGTGGAACACTAGCAGGCTCGCAACCTGTAGGTGTTGTGAACGATGTGTTCACCGGTGTACTCTAAAAACCCATTGACATGTATTGCGAGTGGACTCTCGAAAATGATACTGTCAATAAACGAGATAACCCTGGCAGTTGTGCCCGAAGGACAATACCGGCAGCTGCGCCTCATAGAGAATGTCACAATTCTGGCAGGTGCGCCTAAGTGATAGAACTAGTAGATGTGCTTGACAGCTGTGTCATAGGAAACGATGGACTTCGTGCCTACTCCTTAGGACAATCTTTAGGAATGAATTAACGAGGAATAGTCGATTCTTAGGGTAGATCCTTAAGAGTAAAGAAGATAATGGGGATGGGTAATTGGGTTGATTGTTTAATGATTAAACATAATTATATTATTGTGGGTTGAAAACCCAATGTACTCACCAGGTTTCCCAACCTGACCCACTCAAACTTATTTGTATCACATGTGTCGATATGAAGCTACTTTACACTGAGAGATTTAAAAGAGATGTAGATCACTAGTGTAAATGAATGTAAGTTCTGTTTATGCTTATGTTTCTGTATTGACGATGACATCCCAAATGTTTTTAAAAGGAATAAAAATACATTTCTTCAGAAATGCTTTGATAACGTATTTATCATGTTTTTCTGGGAACAAATTCCGCAACACTTTTATTAAAAGAGATACTCTGATTTTTATAAAGCATAAACAAAATCGGTCTTTTCTGGCCGTGAAAATGGGGATGTCACATTGGGCCCGATTATGTATGTTATATGATATAGGTTGGGATCGAATTGCATGGACTAGCCCGAAGTAATGTATGTTAGGCTGGGTCCGTTCATGTTCGATGTATTGTGTTTTGGAGAACTCACAAAGCTTTTGTGCTTACGGTTTATGCTTAAAATGTTTTTCAGGTACTTCTGGTTTCAAAATGAATGGTCCAACTTGATCGTATTACATCCCTGGAGATTTATTCTGCAATGATTGTTTAAGATTTTACTCTAATGTTTTGAGAATACTTTTACACTTATCGTCTAATGAATAATGAATGAATGGTTTTGAATTATTTAAA